TCTTGCTAAGTGGAGTGTGGGTTTGGCCGGTAGTGAGGATGTGGATAATAAAATTACGCAAATTTCCCTCCAAACCATCAGGGGCCTTCTGGGAGCCACACAACTCTTAGCACAGACAGCAAATGCCTCATTGTGGGCCAGAAATCTTCAGTCAGCCATTCACTGAAAGCGGCTCCACCCATTATTAGCTCAGCTTCTGGCTGCAACTAATCAAGTAACTAAAGGGCTTCTCACGGAATGCACCTCCTTGGAGACTCCTAGGCAGGGAACTGGCCTTTCCCAAGACTAAGGGAAACGTCATCTCCAAAATCCACTATGCCCCACACACAGCCAGTGTTTGTTTACGAACCCATATCCCCATTCAGTAGTTCAGCAAGCCCGATCTCTCATATGCTTGGTGCCACAGCTGCCCATGTACTCCTCTCTTCTCACCTGTCAGTGCCCACTGCCCTCTTTAACTCCAGCTTATCCCACAATACTGCTTGCTAGACACTTTCATTACAGCCCTGAAGACTGAATGTAGAGATGGACTGGAGCTGCAACATTCAGCTCCAGATCTGAATCCAGACTTTCCCAAAGTTCTGCACGTGGGGAGTAGGGATTCCAGTTCCAACTCATCTAGGGTCTACTGCTAATATGGTTGTGGTTACCTGAAATGTATCTCCCCTCCACACTGATACTGTAACTCTGTAATAGCACTGGTCCGAGAGCATCCTCCTCTGCAGCTCTTAACATTTGGGGCACCCCCGTCTCTGCCTCGCTGACTCACCAGCTTTTTTGCAGCTCTTAACTGAAAATATATATTTCTTGGTCTAGCTCTTAGCTTCTTCTTTGCCTCTCTTTTTACTGGAAGGAGAGAGTGGTTGGAGCAAGGGGCTGTGAATTCAGAGCTGTGCCTTGGGAGACCTGCCACTATCTCAACATTTGTCCTTGTGCAAGTTGCTTAGGCCCAGATTTTTAAAGATACTCAGTCACTGCTGCGCTCAATGCCTAAATGATTTAGGAGCCTACCCCCCGCCCGGGTCGGGGGGGCCCCGTTTCCAACTCGAAACCCGGCGAGGCGGCCACAGGGCAGGCGAAACGAGGGCGGCGCCCCAGAAACCACCGGTCCAAACCCCAGGGCCCGGGGTTCGCCCCCCCCCGCCGTGTTTGCCCTCGGAGGGGCCGGTGGGGGGAGGGAGGGGGGTTGAGTCCGCAAGCAGCGGAGAAACTTCCCACGCCGGCCCCCCTAGCCGCCGCCCCCCCCCCGCGCCCGGCCAGCGCGGGGCCGGTGGGTCCTTTTAAAGCATACTGGTTTAAAGCCGGAGTTCTTGCCCTGGCGTCTGCCTTGCAAGGTTCGGGGGGGCGCCTTTTTGTCTTCGGTGGACACTTTACCACCCAGGCCAGTAACACCCGATCCGAGAACAAACGCGGGTTTGCGGCTTCAACCAAAACCGTCAGCGGGGGAGGAGGCAAAGCCCGTACGAAGCCGGCTGTATGTAATGTTAACAGCAAGGTTTACCCTGAAAGAGTGTAGCGACTGTTTTATAAAATGTGTCTTTTTAAATACCCTGTCCCTTTTTTTCCCCAGCTGCAGTGTTTCCCCGAACCGAGGGGGCGGGGCAACGGGCCACCCACCCCCCCGAACCACCCCCCCAACCCCCCACAAACGCCCCCCCCCCAAAAAAGGTCTTCAAAAATTTTAAAGTTGTAAACTTTTAAAGGGGTAAAGGGTGTGCTTTTTCCCCCCCCCCCGCCGGGAAGGCGGCAAGGAGGGGGGGGGGGGGGAGGGAGGGGGGGGGGAGAAAACAATTCCCACTTTTAACCCTACCCCCCACCCCCCCACCCCTGGAGGAAAATTTTCGGGATAGGGCCCAAATATTTTGGTCGGAAACTCCGAAAAACCCGGGGGAACCCTTGGAGGGGCAGAGGCCCCACTTTTGAGTTTTGTGCCCCCAACGTTCCCCCCAACCCCAAGGCCGGGCGAACCGCCCTGCCCCACCCCCGACCCGTGTTGGGGATGGTATGGGGGGTTAAGGGGAAGTGGGGGGGGGAAAAAGGGGAAGGGAGAAATATTTGTTGTTATTGGAAAAGGGGTTGTAATTTTTTTGGAAGGGGGGGAAAAATATTTTGTTTTGCTCTCATTTTAAGGAAAAGATATTTGCTAAGTAATGAAGTAAAAAAAAATTAAAAAAAAGGAGTTAAAGGAGGGGTAAAAATGTTGTGTTTGGGGGGGGGGGAGGGAAACACAGGATGTTAAAGTTTGTGATGTTGAGGGGAGGGAGGGTTGGTAGGGGAAAATAAAAAGGGGGGAAAGGAGTATTTCAGGGGGGTAAAGAAATGGGAAGTTATTGTTTATTGGAGAAAGGTTAGCTCTTGATTGATACATGAATTTTTCTTCTGTAAGGTGAGTGGATCTAGAAGAATTAGAAGGGGGGGGGAGAAATGAGAAAAAAAATCGTCATTTCTTGTTTTGATCCCTCATCTATCTTTTACATCTTTGGTGGCAAGAGGCAAAGGAATAGGCGCAGAAGATGGAAGTAACAAACGGCACCATAAGACGTTCAATAGGATGATGCAAAAAGAGAATGACTTCAAGTCATCCAAATTTATCCTGGCCCAGCGGGGTGAGATCAAAGACAAACACTAGAAGAGATGAACAGTTGATTAGTTGTGCACAAGGAAGGGGTTGTTATGTACAAGAGGCCAAAGAGAATAGGGTGAGTTACTGGGTCCATGTGATGGTATGGTTGCAATAACTCAGGAAAAAGGAAATGATTGTTGTTGTTTAAGGGGGAGGGAGGGAACGGGGGGTGAGATATGTACCCAAACCAGGAAATGTTTTAGCCCCATAGGATTGGGATCTCAAAGAATTCAATGGGCAGAGATGGGAACTGTGGGATAACCACAGTGCAACGTCAGTCGCGTCGGTATGTGAGAGTTAATGTAATGACTTAGAGATTTTGTGGGGAAAATGAATTTATAAAAGATTTAAAATTAAATTAAGTGAGAACCCTAAGCTTATGCTACAAAATTAAGTCCACCTAAGTTAGGTCAACATACAGCCACCACAGTAATTAAAGTGGTGGTTCATGTCCACACTTGCTTCTTTTGTCAGCGGCGTGCGTCCTCACCAGGAGTGCTTTCACCGATTGACATGAGGCATTGTGGGGCATTGACAGCTGGACCCCTGAGGCTGACAGCCAAGTGCCCCATTGCCATCCCTTGATGAGGGACTGGGGGGGCTGGGAGAAGGCGAGTCCAAGTCCAGCAGCCTCCTAGTGAGGAATGTGGGGGGAGCAGCTCAAGCCTGGGAAGTGGCTGGGCTTGGGCTCTCCTCCCGCCACAAACCATCATTGGGAGGCAGCTACAGGGCTCTGGGCTGTGGGCTGTGAGCCCAGTGCAGGGCTGACAGCTAACAGGCAATGTAAGTAATGCACTGTTGATGCAGACGCTGCATTGTCCCAGCTACGTGGACCTATGCACTATGCCTATCGCGGAGCTGGAGTGATTAGGTTTGTGTAATGGGCAATGTTCATAGGCGGACCCAACATGGTAGTGTAGACACACAGTGTTAGGCCGACATAAACTGCCTTACATCGGCCTGACTCTGTAGTGTAAACCAGGCCTTTTAAGTCTAATTTTCTAAAATCCCATTGATTCCTAAGTGCTAAAATCCCTTTGGAAAATGAGAGGCACAACAGCACCTAAATACCTTCAAACATGACGCCTCTTTGTGCCTCAGTTTCCCCAGTTGTTTACAAAAGTAGGTGAGGATTTCTTTTTTAATGTACTTTGAGATGCTCAGCTAAAAGGGGCTCTGTAACGTATCCTGTAAAGTCTGTGTGAACCACGCTCTTATTGCACTAGAGCTAACTGTGATCATCAACGAGGTAACCCCGATACTGGCCATGGGTTTAAGCCCTGAGCTGATTAAAAATAAAAAAGCCAATACAACAAAAAATGTAAGGCCTCATAGAGCTAGGTCCTCAGCTGATGTAAATCTGCCTAGCTCTATTGAAATCAGTGGAGTCAAGCCAATTTACACGAACAGACCCTCTGGGCCCTACTTGGGAAGCTCTAGTGTATTCTAGCTTCAGCAGAACAGTCCTTCGCTTCATCAGCTTTGCCCTCACTGAATGCACGGTGCTGCCTCTTCCTTTCACCTGATCCTTCTTATATCTAATTATCTGCACCTTCCATGTCCTCCTCTTTATTCCTAATCTGCTGTAAAAATGGAAACAGCTCCAGCTAAGCAATGACTTTCTTTGCCCCAAGGCCATTGTTATTTCCAGACAAAAAACCATCATTACGATTGAGCTGAGGTTATAAAGACTTAATTAAATGCTTCAGGGGGAAAAAAAATCCATTAGAAAACATTTTGCGGACATTAACAAAAGTCTAACTATGGAAACTAGGAAATTATTGTCTACATTAGAAAGTTTAGTTAAAGCACTACAACCCCTTAGTGTGGGTGCAGTTATATTAGTATAGCGCTTCTGTATAGTCAGGGGAATAAGCTAAACTGGGATAAGACACCTTTACACTGGTATAATTGTGTCCACACCAGGGGTTGGATCGGTATAGCTATTTCAGTAAAAAAAAGCCACACCCCTAATTAAACTGATACTTTTGAGTATAGACTAGGCCTAAGGTAGAATTAAGAACAAGTAAGTGTTTGAAAGTCTAGAAGTTCTAAGTGAAAGTTCCATAAATAACTTCAATTGGGCAGGTCAAAATTTTTCCATCAAAACTTTTTTTCAGTGGAAAACTGGGTTTTTAATTAAACAAAAGATGTCATGGAAAGTATCTGTTATCCTCAAAAACAAATAGATTTTTCATTGGAAAACCAAGAGCCTGAGCCATTTTGTCCAAAACCCAACTATTTCCCAGTTTTGGGCTGTTTTCAGGCCCTAAGTTTTGATGCAAAATATTCCCCACTGCAGTAACAAGGGTCTTGAACGCTGAACGTGATGGTCACTGCTGCTAATAGGCAAAATAAAACCACCAAGAGATTGACATTTAACAGAAGCAAATGCGCCTTTAATGCTATAGGCTAGAGTGAGCTGGTCTTCAAAGTGATCTTTTATTAACATACTTATATAAAAGGAAACCCTCTCCAGGGCATGTATCCCTGATCACTGGGAGCAGGACTTTCTCCCAGGTGAACTGTGATCACTTCCTGGTTACCGCAGACCCTGAGGTTGCATCATGGCTTTTGGATGGCATTGCTGAGGTGACCTCCATGGGGCTGTCGGCCATCTTGTAGTTGCTGTATATTAAAGGCATGGTAACCTCTTCCCCTCAGCTCCAGCTGCCACAATAAGAGCCCTTGGTTGCATGGGGTTTGTCAGAAGTGTAGCTAGTTGCCTTGGCCAATATCTTCCAGCCACTGCTGCTTGTACCACGGCTGGTGTGAAGTGAAGGGCTGCTTCCGAACAAGCGGAGGTGATGACACGATCAGCACCTGCAGTCAGAGTGGGGGGAAGATCCAGAGATACTGAGAAACAAAACACAACAAGATTTTATTTATTAAATAGCAGCATGTCCTGAGATAGGCAAGAAGCTTGGAGACCAACGTCCCCCCTATATACACTGAACAGGTGGGAGGTCCCTGTACGCTGCCAGGGTTTATGGAGAGTCCATTGTTGTGATCAAGCCAGCTGTGAAATTTTGCTGTGGATCTGAGTGCACATACTGAGTGCCCATCCCCTACATACAACCCTGGTGTCCCCGGGTTATCCCGTCCACTCCCCTCCCATGTGAGAGGGTCTGAGTTTTCTGCCAGTGGCTAGTAGCATGCAATGAGGTGCTTACTGTTCCTTTCCTGATCCTTGGATCAGAGCCGTGGGGGGACAGCCTCCTGCAGGGATGGGAGCTCACTTTCTGGTTTCCCTGCACAAAGCACAAAACCATGGGTCGTCCCCAATGTCCAATACAAATCTCCCTCCTACATACACACCTGCTGTGAATCATGCACACAGCACCTTCCTGGCTGGGCGGGATGTGTCCTGCTGCCAGGTTGAGTTGCTCCCTATGGCCTCTTGGAAGCCTGGGCACACTCACAGTCAAATGGCAGAAGTGGGCTGATTCTCCTGGAGGACCCAAATTACGACTAGGTATCCACAGAGAAAGGACTTTTGCTGGGAACTGAAGGAAACCTGCTGCTTTTCCTCAATGGTTACTTGAAACAGCAACAACAGGTTCAGGACAGGGTTACTCAATCTCCAGTGTGTCTTTTCCCCCCGTGAAAGGCCCATGTCATGAAGCTATCTCAAAAAGCGACATTTTATGGGCCCGAAATTGTTGTGAAAATTTCCATGGGAGAAAAAAGCCCTGTCACCATTTTGCACAGCCCTGGTACAAACACTCAGATCTGTCCCTGAAAAGACAGCGAGGAACAGAAATATAATGATCATACTCTATGCCAGGCTAGAGTTTTGCTTCCAAGATTTTCCCAACTCCGGGCTCGGAAGTCTCTCACGCCCACACGGCCTTCCTACACCCAGCCACCATGCCCTGCTTTTATTTTGAAGCAATGTTACCTTGTGAGGGAGTCCGAGCCAACCTCCTGCCTGGGCTCCTCAGCTCCCCCAGGGTGTCTGAAAGAGGGAAAAGAACAGGGTGAACCAGCATGTACTCACCTCCTGGGGCAGTGCCAGGGAACAGCCAGGCACCCAGCATTCCCTCTTTCCCCTCCAGCTGGCCAAAAGCTTTCTGCTGAAACTTTTTGACAGAAAATGGACTGAACTCATTTTGTGTGTGAAAAGTGTCTGCTTTCCACGGGACATTTCGGCTTCTCAGTGAAAAAACCCAGCTCCCGAATTTCAGACTGGAAATGCCACTGCAGTGCCTCCTGGGAGCTGTGATTTGGGGAACTCATGCCCCATTGTTCTCTGTGGGCTGAGTTCCCTGCCTGGACAATGTGTCCGCTGGTGACCTGTGGCCAGGGACTCCCACGATTCACTGCAGTGGCTTGGCAAGAGAGGAGGCCGGGGTGCAGCGCAGGCGGTCCCGCCAGGAAGGCAATCTCATAGAGAATGGGGACATGGTCCTATGAAGTGCTGCAGCATCATTTCTGAATCAAAATACGAGTTTTGGGGTGAAAAAAAGACATTTTTTTTCACCCAACCCGCATCCCCCCCATCGTTTTCCAACCAGGTCACCTTCTCACCCTTATCTCACTCAGCCCTTCACTGGGGCTTTTGGGCTAGAATTTTTAAAGGAAGCCCAAAGGAGTTGGGCTTCCACTGAAATTCAATGGGAGTTGGGCACCTTACTCCTTTAGGTGTGTTTGAAAACCTCAGCGGGCATATTTAACAGTACAGTGGGGTTAGGGCTTTCCTCTTTGAATAGGGCCCATTCCTCACGCCTTTACATTGCAGAGTGCATAGAGACTAATGATGGAGCAGGGTAGTAGGCACTGCCTAAGCAGGTCTTAATTTAGCTCTTGCATAATCCAAGAGAAAAGCAATCCTGCGACATCCTGCAGTACATTGTGGGCAGGCATGTAAAAATACTTAGCACTTACTCTCTTCAGAATGCTTTACAAGCACTTGCTAATTAATCCCAGTCCATCCCTGGAGAAGCAGGTCAGTAGTGTTACCTTCATTATTGAGATGGGAAAACTGAGGCACAGAGACTAAGATGTTTCAGGTTGGGTGCCTAAGAAGTGAGGTGCGCAGACTCAGTGGCCACATTTGAAAATGGAGGCATAAGCAAGTTGCCTTCAATTCTAGCGCGAGCCAGTGTGAGAGCCAGAATTAGAACTCAGGAGCTCCTGAGTTCAGAGCATTAGAGCAAAATTGCCTGTGAGGAAGGCAAGTTCAGGAATTAAATGGGTTTTTTTAAAATTTCTATTCTCATGTGGTACAGACTTTTTCACCTGTGTTGTGATCAAGAGCACTGCCTCCTGCAGAGAGGGTGAACCAGCCTGGGCAAATACAGGGTCCCCTTACCTTCTGCCCCCAACTCAAACCTTTCAGAACTTGAAACAGTTCACTTAACCTTTGTTTGTCCCCTTTATTTTTATTTTTGCTCTGCCCGGTCCTGACACAGCCAGCAGTCAATATGCTGCAAAAACCAAATCCGCTACAAAGTTAAGGATTTCATTTTGCAACATGCCAGATATTTGTTAAAGCGACACCAGCACACTGAAAGGGAGACAAAAGGGCCCCACGTGCCCTTGAGTCCCCTCACCAAAGTCTGTGGTTTTACAGTCACATCTTTTAAAAAATGTTTGTGTACCTGGATTGTAAATTCTCTAGGGCAAGGACCATCACTCACTGTGCACGTGTACAATGCTTAGTACAATTGGGGCCCTAATCTTGGTCGGGGCTTTTAGGTGCTATTGTAATACAATCAATGAATGAATAAAGAATGGCTTTGAAAACAGAGTTCCTTTGGGTGTAGTGGGTTCAGCATTATTCTCTGCCAAGTTACATCTGATAGTGGAGAGGAATAAATACTTATCTGTTATGGTCCAGATTTTCAGCTGCTGAACACCCATAATTGGGAACAAATTTTTCAGCGGATCAGCTTTCATTTAGGCACCTAAACAGGGCCAGATTTTCTGTAGTGCTCAGCAGCCAACCTATTCTTCAGAAAAATCTGGCTGCCTGTTAAATGAGAAACTAAGCACTTTTGAAAATCTGAGCTTTATTAGTTAAGTGTTGATGGAGGATTGAGCCCCATACAAGACACACACTATACAATAGTCCTTGCCCTGGCGAGTTGGCAATTGATCAGATACAGCAAACAAGAGGCATTGGGAACCAGAGAAGGGAATGGTTAGGGTTATTTACTGCTTTTAATGGTTGTTAGTGTTCTGGTAACTCAATCAAAATGAAAAGAAAAGAAAAAGTCATAGATGATCAGGGAATTATTACTAGGAAATGCTAAGCTTCTTGATTGTGAATGAGGGATTAATTACATTCTACAAACAGAAGTTTTATCTGCATTGAAGGTAAAGAAAGCGGATTTTTATTCCAGTCCATGGTATGCTAGTAAACAGTGTTATGATAGATGTAAGAGTTTAGTCTTCTTGTCACTGTGGTTTAATCATCAGAAAACCTCTTCTTTTCTAGTACAAGGTACACTGAGAATTCTTAATATTTACACACAAGCGGGGCTTACTTCTTTGTTGATATATTCTGTATTCACTTGCCAGGCTATTAATAAGCATTGGCTGGTATTAACTGTAAAATAAATTCTTTTAAAAACCTATAAAACAGAAAATAATCCAATAAAGAGAGGGCTAAACAAACATCTATCCAGTTTGAGGGACAGCACCCTCCTAACCAGCAGCTCTCGAAATGGCCTTCTGCACAGATTTTTCTCTAGACTAATTAAAAACAGGCGCGTGACAAAACATTAGTTGCAACCAGTGTATCATCACCAACTTCTGTTTGTTCACAGACATTTATACAAGAATTGTTATAATTAATCCACAGACTAACATGGAACTGGCCCTGCTGATGCTGCACTAAAACATGACAATAGTGGAAAGTGCGTATCTAGCAACCTAAATGGATACAAGAAATAACCCCGGGGGGGGGGGGGAGGATGTCATTGCTTGACAGACATTCTAGGAGAAGGAGGCTTTTCGCTTAGTTGTGCCATTTGCATGCATAGTTGTTTTGAAATGTATTTTTGGCCTTGATAATTTGAGAATATTTAAAGTCATTCAGAAATGAACAATACAATTGTTGTCTGTGCCTTTCTGCTAATGCTGATTGCACTGTTTGTAGCTACAAGCTCCATAGCACGGTTGAAAGAAGCTGCTGCTCCTGTCTGCAGCTCAGCCAGCCATGCTTCAATGGTGGAAATTATCTGAGGTCATACCTCCATTTCCATATGGGACTGAGCTGCACAACTGTTAAAGCCAAGAGATGTAAAGCTATTGAGTCCATTTTCACTGACCTGGGGTTCTGAAGACCCCTTCTTTAGCAGCAGTTTAGCTCTCATGCTTGCAAGCGACTTCTCAGGTTCCCCCTCATTAGCCCACCGGCAAGACTAGGAGAACTTCCGCCCTTCTGGGATAACAGACATCCAAATGAGAGTCCAAGCCTTCCCCCGTCACCCCCACAGTCAGGATATGAGAGCCCTATACATCCTGCTGGACCCACTCCATCAAAGGGGAGCTCATGTCCCCCTTCCTCCCCAAGCGCCAACCTTGGCAACTGAGATAAAGAACAGGCAGCCTCCGAGGGGACGTCTACGCTGCAGAAAAAACCCCAAACCTGGCAGCAGCGAGTCTCCAAGCCCAGGGCAGCGGACTCAGGCTCACGGGGCTCGCATGACAGGGCTCAGAAAGCGGCATAGACATTCCCACTTGGGCTGAAGCCCAGGGTCTGAGATCCAGCCCAAGTGGGAACATCTACACTGCTATGTTTATGTAACACCAAATCTCACTCCTCCTCCCCCAAAGCTATGTCCTTTGCTCTGCTACCATCCAAGTACCCATCCAACAGGTCCAAAGTCTTTTCTCCTTCCCAAATCTCCCCTGTTCGGTTGGAAGCCTCCTTCTCATGCTACTTCCCACGTTTCTTTCTAGCAGGCCTACAGTTCCCATGCAGCCTGGGAACTACAATTCCCAGAATTCCCCTGTTCCAAACTGGGACTAGGACCTTGTTGGACAGGTAGCCAGCCTTAAAGGGCTAGCATACCATCCTATAGCTTTCCTTCAGCCATATATCCGTCTACATAAAACAATGTATTATTAATAATTAACAGATAAACAGATATTACTGAAAGGCAGCGCCATCTAATGAGAACCAAGGAGGGGGTGCGAGAAACAAAGACAAAGCAGAAATACCCTCTGACATACAGCCTATAATCTCTATCATCTTCCCATCAACTATTGGCTAAAACTAAGAATACATCATAACTTATATAGAAAACAAAAGCTTTAAAGCCCAGGAAGTCACATTCCTGATCCCCTTTCCTTCCAGGGAAAGACTAGTTCAGCTTAGAATTTCAATTGGCTTTTATTTTCCCATGGACAGAAATCTCATGTGTACATTTGATCCATCCTGGCAAACACACCTGGGACCCTCACCCCTCTGGCAGCTGAGACCTGGAGGCAGGAGAGACTCAGCAAGGAGCAGAGGCAGGGCCACGCCAAGGCAGAAGAACAGTATCCACTCCACTCATGAGACTTTAAGCTGAGGACACCAGAAACTCAAGGGCTGACCCCTGCAACCATCAAGTTGCATAAACTGCAGACAGTGTACAGAGAATCTTACATAAGTTAATCTTCACTCTGCTGCTCGTTTGTGTCTGCACTCATCCTTTCTCATAACACACGCTCTGATTTTTGGTGCATGGGCAGAGAAAGAGGAAGGCCCCTATGTAGCAGATATCAGAGGGGTAGCCGTGTTAGTCTATATCCACAAAAACAACAAGGAGTTCGGTGGCATCTTAAAGACTAACAGATTTATTTGGGCATAAGTTTTCATGGGTAAAAAACCCACTTCTTCAGATGCATGGAGTGACACTACCTGGACACTCAATAACAGATTTAAAAGTAGCCATACTTCGACAAAAAAACTTCAAAAACAGACTTCCAAGAGAAACTGCTGAGCTACAATTCATTTGCAAATTAAACACCATCAATCTGGGCTTGAATAGGGCCTGGGAGTGGCTGGCTCACTACAAAAATAATTTCCCCTCTCTTGGTATTGACACCTCTTCATCAATTGCTGGGAGTGGACTACATCCGCCCTGACTAAATTGGCCTTCAGCATTGGTTCTCCACTTGTAAGGTAACTCCCTTCTTGTCATGTGCCAATATATATTTATGCCTGTATCTGTAATTTTCACTCCATGCATCTGAAGAAGTGGTTTTTTTTACCCACGAAAGCTTATGCCCAAATAAATCAGTTAGCCTCTAAAGTGCCACCAGACTCCTCGTTGTTTTTATGTAGCAGAGTGGCTTTTTTCCATGTCGTATTAGGTTGATGAGAGCTTTGCTTGACTATGGGATTGGTTTTCAGATGGGAACGTCTTCATCATGAGACGTATAATGACTAACCACCACAAGCATTGTGGCCCACACTTTGCAAGTGGGTTACAGATGGAAAGCATGGTCTTGTGCCTTTGTATGGAATTGGAACCCCTGAATGTGAATCCTTCCTCTACTCTGGGCTAGCCCCGTGACTGACTCACTGGGGCTTAGTAGCTCAAACCTGGAGTAAGACTCAGGGAGATGTGGGTTTCATTCCAAAGACGTTATGGGCTGGATGCAGAAATTATCGGGTGAAGTTCTCTGGGCTCAGTTGTGCAGGAGGTTAGACTCGATGATCACAATGCCCTCTTCTGGCCTTCAAATCTTCTGCTCCTGCTCCTATGACAACATCACACACACTTTGGAGTCTTTTCACCTCCTCACTGGCTCCCACTGAAGCAAGTTCAAACTTCACACTCTCACCCCAGACATCTTCGACCTACATTCCAACCCTGATCTCTACCTATTTCCCTCCCCATGCCTAGTGTTACGATTCATGTGTTGATTTAGGCCATGAGCTGAGAGCAGGGACCGGGTCTTCTTTTATTTTTTGTAACACCCCATGTACACTTACAGCTGCAGGGAGTAATAAATTATAACTGCAAGCCAGACTCTCTCTTTGCTTTGTCCCCCTGGGCTGTGAAACGAGCTGTGTTCTGGCTACCCACAAAGAATACTTGTGCCGAGAGTGGGAGTTCTCCAAGCAGAGTATCAGGGCGGTTGACACTCAAACCTACAGGCTGCTGTAGTGACATCACCATGGTGAAACACACCCTTAGACAACCATCTACAGTGCAACTGGGAGGTGTGATTGCTGCACGTGTAGACATGTCCCAGCTAGCTGTGATCTAGCTAGATCAGGGGTTCTCAAACTTTATTGCACTGCGACCCCCTTCTGACAACCAAAATCACTACATGACCCCAAGAGCGGGGACCAAAGCCTGAGCCCACCCAAGTCCCACCGCCCCAGGTGGGGAAGGGGTCAAAACCAAAGCCCAAGGGCTTCAGCCCCAGCCCGGGGGCCTGAAACTGACCCCGCCACCCAGGACTGAATCCCTCGGGCTTTGGCTTGGGCCCCGAGCCCCAGAAGTCTAAGCCAGCCCTGGTGACCCCACTAAAATGGGGTCACGACCCACTTTGGGGTCCCGATCCACAGTTTGAAAACTGCTGAGCTAGATGAACACTAGCTTGAGTAACAATAGCTGTGAAGACGCTGCAGCTGGCTACAAGGAGTAGCCATGCTGGCTTGGGACCCTGGGTACATACTCAAGTGGCCACTGGACCATGCTGCCACAGCTTCACTGCTGTTGTTACCAGGCAGTGTCCTGCCCTTTGCAACTCAGCATGTGGAGGGCCTGCAGAATGTCAGCTGTGCAAGTTCCTCAGCCCTGTCTCCCTCCGTGCAAGGGCATTTCCCTTCCTGACCGGATAGCACAGAGCCAGCATGTGGGCTTTTATTTATAACATGTTTTCTCGGGCAACCAATTAGTCTTTAATTCTGTGTCTGCTACCGGCAGTCCAGGAGGCAGCTTGGACCATCCAGACCCTGCTTAGAATCAGACACTTTCTCGTCTCTGCCCTGACGGAAGCTGGCTCTTTAAATGCCAATTTCACCGACCTGCTTTCAGATGTCTCCAGTCTCCGGCGGTAAATAGATTTCAGTGTCTACAAGAGAAACCTCTTCAAGCTGAGTCTCTCTTTGAAGAGAACAGCTGCGCTCTCTGCAGAGGCTCCCCCACTCCAGCTCGGCCTGCTAGATTGCAGCGAAGCCATTTGGGGGCTTTCATCCCTCTCCGCTGCGAGCACGGTCCCATTAGCGCTGAGTTGTTTCCATCTGAGCCAAACTGGGGCAGGTGCTGACCGAGAGCTGAAAACCTCAGCTACCCACTAAGCCCTCCTCTGTGAGAGGCGATGGAGTCCAGCAGACAGGGCAGTCTGCTGTGAGTTCAGAAACCTGCTGCTGGGTGACCTTGGGCATACTCTTTGGGGTGGGGACTGTCTCTTAGTGTGTGTTTGTACAGCACCTGACACAGCGATTGCAGGTGGGACCTCTAGACGTGACTATAATACAAATAGCAATATTACTGAAATCAATAGGCTTTACAGGTGCTCAGTGCTGCATAGGCAGGTCCCGCTGTACAAAACAAACCCCTGCTGCATGTGTCCGGAGAACTACATAGTGACCCTCACATTTACTTGAGTGGGGCTACTCATGGAATACGTAAGAAAGTGTGGCAGCATCTCAGGCTTAGCTATTAAATGCTCATTGCCAAATTCAGCCCCTTGTAGAGACTGCCCTAAATCATAACCCTCCCTGCACAAAAGGGACATTTACATATTGCCAGAAAATGTTACAGAGCAGCACTAAAACTGGCAGCAGGATCTTGCACCTGCAGGCTTGCAGGTCTGCACTCCACAGGGCTTGCTCCTGTGAGATCCCTGAGAGCTCTCAGCTCTCGTTAACGTCAGGGGGCTTTGAGGGTGCACACTCAGCACTTCTGGACCACACACGGAGAACACAGATGAAGGCTCCTTTGGAAATGCGGTTCTGCTGGTATGTAATTAGCGGCAGAAGAATGTCATTCCCAATGCACACACAGAGTCGGGCTGTGTAGATTTCTCCAAACCGAGACACAGAATTTATATACACGGCAATGCTAGTCGCAGCTTTCCCAATCACAGTAAACAAGGGCAAATGCGGGTTAATGTCCATACAAAACCATCTGCATTATCAGATACACTGAGTCATGGCATTGGGCATACACATTACGGAAAGGAAACAGCCTTACACTCTTGATCCGCAGACATTTCCCTAAGGTCTGAAAAGGGTTCAGGAGTGACGAGAACACAGCCCTGCCCCACCAAGCCCAAAGTTGTGCTAACAAGGCCCATAAAAGAGATTCAAGGATCCCGAAATGGGATTGTAAGAGTCAGAGAAGGAAAAAGCTTGTTGGATAACAGAGGCCATGGATCTGCCAGGGCATGTATGGGACCTGATCCTGATCTCACACCAGTTATACAGCGGTGTGACTCTTGGTGGAGTCACTGATATAAGTGAAATCAAGCCTACCTCTGTATCAGGTGCCAGAGAGGTACAGTCCCCCTGTGTCTGGAACAATAAATGGAAACTACCCATATCCTTAGATCAGGTGCTGAGCAGTAGCAATAACCACTGTCCCCTGTGGCTGCAGACCCATACATTTCAAGCACACTAGATAGTGCCGGTGCAGCCGGGCTTCTTAGAAAGAACCAGCTCCCGTGCCCCCTCCCCTCCCCACTGCCCACCACAAGGCAAAGAGAGACGAGGAAGGACTTACGGTTCGACCCTGTTGAAGAAGTGGCGCCGCAGCAGGATGGCCAGGGTGCTGATGACCAGGAGGGTGGTGCACATGGCTCTTCCTCCATCACCACAGAAAGCAGGAGGCCGGCCACATCCCTGGCACTACCGAGGGGGCCGTGGCAGAGCAGCTCTGCTGCCCTCAGCCTGGTCCCGTCGGCTCCCACGGCTAGCGTGCGAGCCCAGCAGGTTGTTTCCCAGTCACTCAGTCACCTGCAGGTTCTCATGACCGGTTTTAGAGGGGATTAGAGCAGGATCAGATGTAATTAATGGGCAACAAATGAGGACACACTCCTCTGATCTTTGGGTAGGAAGGGGCTGGGCAGCCGGGCCATGAACCCTTTGGCTCTTAATTGGTTTAGGCTTTTCACCCCATTCTCATGTAATGGGCCAACCCCAGATATGTTAGGCCGGAGGCAAGTGTCCCCTCTGTGTAGTGATCCTGTCCTGCGTGCACCCTTCCCCCATCACATGGGCCTCCCCTCCCCGACTTGCTGTCTCTGGCCATAAGGTTTCCATATGCTGCCTTCTGCCTTCTACCTACTTATCTCCTATCCTTCTGATCTGTCTGAATGCCCTACAGTGCTCATCACAGCCATCTGCAGGTACTCCACCCCTGCTTTCTCCCTCTCTCTGGGTACATGGCTCCAGACTCCTTTTCCATCCCTTGCCACCCCCCATTCCCGTGCTTACAAGGCTCTGAAGCCTGGTTTCACCCCTCTCTCCATAGCCGGCCCTCTCCCCACATCTCCCTCCCTCGCTGCTAATCTGACAAGCTGCAGACTACATATAATTCCCCATGGATTTGCTCCTGCAGCCGATCTGTTAACCCTTGTCCATCTCCACTCCCCTCCTCTTTTCTCTGTCCCCTCATGCAGGCTCGAAAGTGATGCAGGTGCCTTCCCCTCTGCAGCTCCTGTCCTCCGAAGGAGCCGTCTCCTCATCAGACCTTTGTCCCTTTTCAAATCTCATCTGAAAACCTGCAGCAACGTCTTCTCTCTTCCCCATACCTCTTCATTCTTTCCTTCCACCGTTGGCCTTCTGAGAGTGTGCTTAGCTTACGCACCATCCCATTTCACTTTCCCATGCAAACCATGTATATCCTAGGCAAGGTGACTTTTAGTTCAGGGTCAGGAGAGCAACCAAGAAAGACGTCTCCATGAGAAAGACAAAGGCAGGGTCCAGGACACACATGTTTAGGCTTTATTCTCACTGCTAAAAGAAGGCACCTTTAACCACAGGCCGACTCACACGTGAGCTGTCCCACTGTAAAATCTTGGTGCAGACAAGCACAGTCGTTTTCACCAGAAGGAAAAGTCGTGAGGTCAGCCACGGGCAGAGGGATAGCACTGCCTCCTCTGGCTACCTCGCAGGAAACACTCCAGGTACCTTGTCTGCACCAGGATTTTACACTGAGATAACTGCTGCATGTTACTTATCTGGCTGAAAACCACTCGCCTTTTTGGCAGTAGCCACAGACCGACGGACCGACCGACAGACCACAGTGACTCAACCTGCCCCATTCTGCATCCTGAACTGATGGCAGCTCACAGCGGCCAAAGGGACTCCTCTGGGTTTAAAGGTCCAGCTTACACAAAGCAGAATGACCGCTTCCCCTTTCAAAAGCACATCTACATGCACTGCACATACAGTGCCTTTACCCCACTGCTTTCATGTCCATATCTACATGCACCGCACAGTTCTGGGTGCCACATGTCAGGAAAAATGTGGACAAATTGGAGAAAGTCCAAAGAAGAGCAACAAAAATGATTAAAGATCTAGAAAAGAAAAGGTCCTCAAAGAATCAATCCTGAAGCACTTGCATGAGAGGAAAGTGATCAGGAACAGCCAGCATGGATTTACCAAGGGAAGGTCATGCCTGACTAATCTAATCGCCTTCTATGATGAGATTACTGGTTCTGTGGATGAAGGGAAAGCAGTGGATGTATTGTTTCTTGACTTTAGCAAAGCTTTTGACACGGTCTCCCACAGTATTCTTGTCAGCAAGTTAAGGAAGTATGGGCTGGATGAATGCACTACAAGGTGGGTAGAAAGCTGGCTAGATTGTCGGGCTCAACGGGTAGTTATCAATGGCTCCATGTCTAGTTGGCAGCCGGTATCAAGTGGAGTGCCCCAAGGGTCGGTCCTGGGGCCGGTTTTGTTCAATATCTTCATAAATGATCTGGAGGATGGTGTGGATTGCACTCTCAGCAAATTTGCGGATGATACTAAACTGGGAGGAGTGGTAGACACACTGGAGGGGAGGGATAGGATACAGAAGGACCTAGACAAATTGGAGGATTGGGCCAAAAGAAATCTGATGAGGTTCAATAAGGATAAGTGCAGGGTCCTGCACTTAGGACGGAAGAACCCAATGCACAGCTACAGACTAGGGACCGAATGGCTAGGCAGCAGTTCTGCGGAAAAGGACCTAGGGGTGACAGTGGACGAGAAGCTGGATATGAGTCAGCAGTGTGCCCTAGTTGCCAAGAAGGCCAATGGCATTTTGGGATGTATAAGTAGGGGCATAGCGAGCAGATCGAGGGACGTGATCATTCCCCTCTATTCGACATTGGTGAGGCCTCATCTGGAGCACTGTGTCCAGTTTTGGGCCCCACACTTCAAGAAGGATGTGGATAAATTGGAGAGAGTCCAGCGAAGGGCAACAAAAATGATTAGGGCTCTGGAACACATGAGTTATGAGGAGAGGCTGAGGGAGCTGGGATTGTTTAGCCTGCAGAAGAGAAGAATGAGGAGGGATTTGATAGCTGCTTTCAACTACCTGAAAGGGGGTTCCAAAGAGGATGGCTCTAGACTGTTCTCAATGGTATCAGATGACAGAACGAGGAGTAATGGTCTCAAGCTGCAGTGGGGGAGGTTTAGATTGGATATTAGGAAAAACTTTTTCACTAAGAGGGTGGTGAAACACTGGAATGCGTTACCTAGGGAGGTGGTAGAATCTCCTTCCTTAGAGGTTTTTAAGGTCAGGCTTGACAAAGCCCTGGCTGGGATGATTTAACTGGGAATTGGTCCTGCTTCGAGCAGGGGGTTGGACTAGATGACCTTCTGGGGTCCCTTCCAACCCTTATATTCTATGATTCTATGAAAACATGACCTAAGAGGGAAGATTTTAAAAACTGGGTTTGTTTAGTCTGGAGAAGAGAAGACTGAGCGGGGACATGATAACAGTTTTCAAGTACATAAAAGGTTGTTACAAGGAAGAGGGGAAAAATTATTCTCCTTTACCTCTGAGGAAAGGACAAGAAGCAATGGCTTAAATTACTGCCAAGGCAGTTTAGGTTGGATATTAGGAAAAACTTCCTAATTGTCAGGGTAGTTAAGCACTGGAATAAATTGCCCTGAGAGGTTGTGGAATCTCCATCATTGGAGATTTTTAAGAGCAGGTTAGAAAAACCCCTGTCAGGGATGGTCTAGATAATGCTTGGTCCTGCCATGAGTGCAGGGAACTGGACTAGATGACCTCTCGAGGTCCCTTCCAATCCTACAACTATATAAGTGTATGATTCTATAAAGTTAACAAAGCCATCAAGCTAAACAAGCAGGGAGACTGCTTAGTGATCACACCAGCAGACAGTCTGCACCTCAGGAAACCTTCCTGGCTTTCGAAACAGAGCCTAAAGGCTTTGGGTAACATAAGGGGGGGCAGAGACATTTTAGTTATCCTTCTCTGAGGGGACAACAGGGCACAGCACCATTGCCCCTATGAAAACTGGATCCTCTGGGTCTGGGAGGCAAGAGTTGCTGGAAATTTAACACAAGTGAAAAACTTGCTCAGACTCAGACTTTAACTGTCTGAAATTAAGTTTTACTCACCAGAGAGCAGGTTTTGTTTAGTTTCTAACCTGTCTGTCTCTTTTATTCTTGCTTAGCATCACTTAAAGCTCTGTTCTTTGTTAATAAACATATCCTTGTTTTATTACACAACCATCTGAGGGCTGTGTATTAAACTGGAGGGTGAGTCCTCAGCTAGCCAAAGAGACTGGTGTGTGTCTGTCTCTTTGGAGGCAGCAAACTCAGTAACTTCTGCAAGTGTCCAGTGAGAGGAACTGGGCACGGCAGAGAGACATCTCTGGGGAACTCAGGGATTGGGATGCACTCATTGTTACCTGCCAGGCAAGGCTTGGCTGAGCAGAGTGCTGAAGAGTTTGCTGGCCAGGCTGTTGAACAGGTGTGTCAGGGAGCTGAGACATATCTTAGCAGCATCAAAGCTCTCACTTGCTGAGGATGAGAGGGGTCACACAGGGGCTCACGGTTCTCAGTGTTGTGAGCAAGAAGTCGCACCTCCCAAAGAATCCAGTGCAGGACCTGAACTGTGGCTGGAATAGCTTCCCCAGTTACCGGGTCTTGATCTTCGGCTGGTATACATTACCGTAGCTCATGGATTTGCACCAGTTTCCACCAGCTGAAGATCTGTGTTAATTGAACAGAGGGGATTTCTGGCCATTCTTTGGAATGACGAAACAGCACTTTTCCGCAGCCGGACTCAGCCCAGAGAGCTCAGTGAACTCACTTTAGGACACATCTTGTCCTGGGATGTAGCCTATCAGTTCCAAATGAGCTTGACTGACATGGCGAGAGACCCAGTTCAAAAGCAAGGTGATGTAAGCAGCCTAGTTAATGCTTCCTGCCCTAGACCTCGAGAGCAGGGATGGAAGGGAAAGGCAGACTTAATGGGTTCTGAAGGCTTTTCCTTTTAAGATTTGAATCAATGAATCTTTCTGGGGAGCCTGGGTAATGTGATCTGAATAAGAAATGGGGCTTGTCTTTGAACCTGAGCTAGGTTCCTTGACAGTGTTTGCTTCATGCTCTGGCTCCAAATGCAAGACGACAGGAATCTCTGAGCAGGCTGGCTTTCCGGCGCTCCCCCTGCCACGAGCAGACCAGCTTCACAAAGTAAAGTTTCAACAAAGAGAATTCTGTTGAAAGTGTTGGCTTGTTTCCCAATAGCCCTGTCGCTGCAGCTGAGCTGCCTGCCCCTGACAAGGGTTGCATTTATGACCGCTCTGGACTCGTGGTGGGGTCAGGCAGTAACATTTGGATCAGGTTCTTGAACATTGGCGCTTGGATCAGCTCAGGACCTTCCCTTCATTGTTCCACTAGGACTCCAGGAGGGGCAGATTACCTGGCCTCACAAAGTACGGGGTGCCCTGCCAACACGGTGCATAGACCTAAGCGAAT